AGCAGTTTTCTGATCTCTCCACAGGGAGCTTGTTTGCCTTAAAATGAAACTACTGGGCTGAGATAGTCTCCACTATACTAGCATTACGTTCACTACATTAACTCAGTAAAGACTTTGGCGTAAGACATGTAGCTGAACGTCAGTAATCCCCTTTGCTTATCTGGAAACCCAGGGCTACCGTGTCTCATTTGCAGCAGGGTCTTACACTGGTGACTCATTGCGATATTAACCTTTCCGTTTGTTATAACACCCTGAAGCGTTATCACATCAGTCAAACGAGTCCCACAAATAAATGAGCAGCATGCACAGTGCTGTGAGGTGACGGTGGCTGGGCTTTGTTTGCAGACATTAAGAATTGTTGCACTGCATCCATCAGCATTTGATTTTACTTCTCCGTGGCCCTTTAGAAAGGGGCTGGAGGAGTGTTGTCTGTCCAGAAGCAGCTTCCCCTCCCAGTCCCAAATGTATTCTCACTTAGCATACGGTTCAGATAGCAGAATGAGCAGAAGGAGGGAGAAGTGCCTGCCACAGAGCTCTGCTGCATTGGAAACTCAAGTTCTTCAGCAACCAAACCCTCCACGCATGCTTGCACCCCTGGCTCCCTGGTGCAGTCACACACGAAGCTCTGGGACAGAGAGGACCTTGAGGTTACAAGTTCCCTACAGAGGAAGGGGTAATATTTCTCCCGTTTGGGGTGTGTGCCTGAGGGGCAGCTCTGCTCCTTCTAGACTGTTGATGGTTGCTCGGGTTTGGGGAAGGAATGACAGAAGAGAGGCAAGCGGTTTTTCTACCCAGGCAGTGATTTGAGGGTGGAGGAGAGGGGATGAAAAAGTGTCTGGTTGGCTCCTGAGTGAACAAAGGCTTGTGCTGCTGTTTAGTCACCAGTTGAAAAAGCCTCCCATCAAAGGTATTTTCTGGCTGTGTGACTTCATCCATGCCAAAAAAAGAGGAGGAACAGAGACTAATATCCAATCATTGGCTGGTCCTGGGGGCATATGAAGAGTGTTTGCCTCTCGTAAATGAAATGATGGGACCACTTGCTTGGCTTTGGTGTGAACAAAGAATGAAATAGGAAATGCTGTTATTCAGGGTGAGAGTCCTGGACATCTTCGAAACCACTTAACATTATGTGCAGTGTCAGGATGCTAGTCCTGAGTGCTCTCAAATATTCCCAGAGGTTACAAGCTCAAGCACTTGACTCAAGCTAAAGCTGAGACTTTTAAAGATGGCTACAAAGAAGCTAAACCTTCCCCTGGGGCATCCAAGAGACCCTATGCAGCCAATTAGTGCATTTCTCTCCATCCCAGCAGCATGAGGTGTAAGAGTAAAGTGGGAAGAACAGGAGGTGACAGGGGAACTCATGCTCCAGGAGAATATTGTTGGGGTCAGGAGGAGAAAATTTATTGCAGGGTGCCTGAAAAGCACATGTCCCTCATCCAGCAGGACGTATATGCTCTGCACAAATGTCCAGCGTCTGTGTGGGGCTGGGCTTGGGCCAGCAATGCTACTGGGCCCCACTGTGGGCTGAAATCCTATAGGGACAGGTCTCGGGAGCCTGAGGGATGGAGGGATAGGGGTGGGTGGGAGGTGGAAAGCTTTGCGCTTTGAAAGTGCTCACTGACACTACTACTGCAGCCTCACTGGCAGCCCCCGAGTCTTCCTCACCACGTGGAGTGTCTTCATGTTTGGGGATCAGATCTAGTGTTTACACAGCCTTGAGATTGCTTTCTTAATACAACTACTGCTGGTACTTGCTTTTTGTCGTTTTGGAGTGGTTTTTTGCTTGGGGTTGATATCACCTTTATACAGAAACACTAATTTTCTAGGGGAGTTTAGGTACATTAGTGCATCCTGGAAATACTTTCTGGGGGCATCTGCTAGAGCAACAGATCAAATCATCCATGATTCATGTTAACATTCAATCTTGAACTGTTGTTCAAGAATGTTTTTAATCTCATTGTCATGAAGTACTGCCAGGCTGAGGTCTTAGTCCTTTATCAAACAATATTCCCATCAGAATCAATGCCAGATGAAAATAAAGGCAAACAATTTAGTCCCTTGCCTTGGGTTTTTGTTTTTTGGGTTGGTTTTTTTTTTTTTTTGTTTGTTTGTTTTTGGTTTTTTTTTTTTGTTTTTGTTTTTTTTGGTTTTGTTTGTTTGGTTTTTTTTTTTACATGGCACTGGCCATCCTTCAAGTCACTTCAGTTTTGTTCAGAAAAGGAGAAGGCATTCTGAATATGTGCTGAAGCCAACAGCGTTTCACAGAAGAGAGGTAAACACAGCAGGTTGCTGGCAGCCTGGTAGATGCAGGAAGAATTTTAGTGATTATTGAAAAACATCTCACTGTCCAAGCAACAACCTCCTTGGTTTAAACTTTGCAATCCAGGAACATCAGATAAAGTAGAAATTCTAACATATGTATATTTGCACTGGAATAATTAAGCCTTGCAGCTGTGGTCACAAACTTTCCTTTCAAGCAGCACCTTCAGAGCACTCGCATTTGCCCTAATCAAAGAAATGGAAGTTAGGAAAAGTGAAGGTTTGCTGTCCATTAACGCAAATAGGAAATGTGCATTGCAAAAATCTCTCTCAATACAAGTACCAATAACTCAATTTGGAATAACTTGTGGTTAGTGGGATTTGCTTTTAAGCAACTGAGTTCAAATATGTAATACAGCAATAGTGGGAAATGGTTTAGATTAAGCAAATAATGTAAAAAATAATTTCTGGATGTATTTTTATTAAATTTTCTCATTGTCACAAGCTCAGAGACTGGTGTTGCAAATGGCTGAGAAGCTCTTGGGAACTGCTAAATACTTTGCAGTCCTACCATGTATAGGAGGAGGCTGAGAAGATTTTAAAGCACTTTGGTGAAAAGAGGTTTATATCTGAGATGTAGATGAAAAAGTCTTCAGGACAAATTGTGTCAGAATTACCATACTGGGCAGTAAAACCATTTTTAGAAGAACATAAACACAAGTATACTGCCTCAGACATAGGCTCCATTTGGCCCAGTACCCTGTTTCACTATTCCAGCTGCAAACTATTTTCAGTTCAGGGGGTTATTGAACCCCCTGTGGTTTGTAGTCAGTATTAATGTTTGTTCTTCTAAACATCTTTCCATCCTCTTCTTAAACATATGTAAACCCAACATCTTTTGGCAAAGAATTTTCCAGCTATGTGAAAAACAGTCCTGTTTTATTGAATCAGCCCAGAGCCCATCACTTTGTATGTGAAGTTAGGATTGTTTATCCCATTTTACGCATATCTATATTGTTTTTATCTGCCATTTCATTGATAGGCATCCTCAGGTCCTCTTACAATCCAATCTGCCCTCAGTCTCACTGCTCTGAACAACTCCATGCCATCAGCAAATATTGCCATCTCCCTGTTTGCCCTCTTTCCAGGTCATTTATGAATGTAAGAACAGCAGAGCTCCAGCACAGACCCACACCTAACTCTACCATCAACCTCCCTCTGTCTTTTAGCCCTGTTCTCCATTCCACTCTATTAACCATGAATTTCTTCCTGTGAAGACTTTCTCTCTTATGCCATAGGTTTTAATTCCCTTAAAAACTTTTGAAGAGGGACTTTGTCAAGACTTCTTTAAAACCCAAGTAAACTCTTACCAACGTTTGTAAAACTGGTACCCACTCTTTACAAACTCTCCAAAATAAGCTAGCATTACACTTCCAGCATAGAGCATCCCACTGCCCACAGCCACTTTGCTCTTCGAGCAGCCCTTTTGACTTCTCTGTGTTCCTTGCTTCTCTGGTAAGGACACTAAACCCAAGTACATTATCTCTAAGTACAACTTCTCAGGAAGTTCTGTTGCTTTTGATACATTATGAACATTAGCAGTTTTCAACCCTGTGTTTCAGGTCAATGGAAAAAAAAAAAAAAAAAAAAAAAGAGAGAGAGAGAGAGATTGACTGCAATAAGAGGATTTATAAATTTGTTGTCAAAAAGCAAGGCTGAGTCACTGAGGCAGATAACCAGAAAAGTAGCAAGCACACAGGCTTATTTTTGTCTTAGCCCTGAAACTCTTTTTTCTATAGTAGAGGCTTCCATACTGATAATCATATAAGATCTTGTGATCTAATTTGCTGAGGGTTTGACCTATGAGAAATCGCTGTAACAGTGTAGGATTTCTTTGCAGTATGGACGTGTTGCTTGTACACAGCTCTGTAGGGCTTGGCTGCTCAAGGCTGTTTCAATTTTTAATGAAAGACTCCTAGAGATGAAATATTTAACACCTCTTTCTGTAAAGTCCAGCTCCCCTTACTACCACCACATTGTAAAGGGCAGCGATACTGCTCATTGCTCTAAGTGGTTTAGAGTAATGCGTAATAAGAAAGCTTTTATATTTAAAGCTGGATATAGTTTGCCAAGATCACTCACCTTGAACTGAATCCTGCAGTCAGAGGGAGTTTCAATTAATAGGAAGAGTTTAATCAAGTGAGAACTGAGCAAAACCTCACTGACTTGTCTCTTTTGAGAAAATCCTTTAAAACTCAAGAGAACCCCCTGACAATGATTATAGGGTATATAGAGAGAGATTCTTTAAGGCACCTGAAAGAGAAATTAATTGTTCTACAGTCTGTCCAGAGGTGACAACAATTAGTGCCAGACCCTTCTTTTGATTAATTTAAAATTTCCCTGCTCATTTCTGGGAGAAATCTTTAAAGAAATCTATCCCTTACAGTATGCATTTTCCCTCCTGAGAATTGGAAGGGTTTCTACTCTATCAGTGGGAAACTGTGGTTCAGAACAAGAAACTTCAAACATGAGCTGGCTCCAATGGAAACCCACAGAAGCTGGTAATCTGTGTGCATTACAGTGCTGGCTGATCAATAGTAATTCAGGGATAGAGTGGCGTATCGTCAACTGAGAAATATTTCAAGGCTTGATTAGTTGTGCTCCTTTTCCATTGGGACCGTAGTGCAATCTTCACTTATAAAGACATGTGATCTGAAAGCCTGAGGCAGAACAACCCTTGTTTTTGCAGGAGAAGCTTTTCTAGGATGCAAAAGCTTTTACATCCTCATCCTTGTTTCTAAAAGCTGTGTCTTCTTCACAAAATTAAAAACAAAAAAAAGTGAGCTTAGGATGGCATCAACATCACAGCCTCTGCGAGGTAAAAGGGCATGTAAAAAAATATTTTGGGCAGTGTTTCCTCATGCCTGCTTCATTCTGTCTCTTGTGATCTATGCTTTTCTTGGGGCTCTCATGTTTTCCCACATTGAAGGTAACCGGAAGGTCAATTTAAGTGAAGGATATAGAAAATTTCTGCAGAAGCTGTGGCACATCTCCAGAAATTTATCAGGTATGTACTGGAATTTCAAAATGACTTAACTGCACAGGGAGTTACTAATTCTCTTGCTATTTGCATTAGATTTTTGGCTTTTGAAGACATTCTTCAAAATACTAACAGCTGAACCTGAAAACAGGATTGCCCCCCTGCCTAGCTAATGTTGGCTGTTGTTTGCTCGTCTTTCTTAGCTGTGATTTTTGACTGAAAGCTTCCCTGGTCCCTGTGTTCCTTCCTGAAAAGACTATTCCTGAGGTGCCTGTCTTCTCCCTTTTGCCGAAGTTACCTAAGTTTCTTAAAGAGCAGCTGAAATTCCCATGGTATTTCCTTCTGATTGCTGGGGACTGAACCCTCTGTGTCTCAGAAAGTCTCTCCCAGCTCCCTCTTCCCATCTCTGAGCTTCCCTACCAGCCCTCTGGCAATGGGATGCTCAGATGGAGGCAGGTGCAGTGCTGCGCCCCAGAGCAGTGGTGCCGATGAAGGGGTTTAGAGGGGAAGAGACGGGGTAGAAACAGTCCTGAATCTGTGTTGGGGCTTGTACACGGGCTTGGACTTTCATTCAGGTAGCTGTGCTGACACGATAATCTCTCTTTGGGGCAAACATCCCTGTAGATAATGTCCTGCCAAGCTGAGCTCAGCCATGGGGAGGAGGAATGAAGGGTGCAGGCTGTGGGATTCACAGTGGGGCACTGGGCAATGCTGCACGAGTGGTTCATATCAGTCATGGACTGACAACCCCACATTTCCAGTGTCTTTGGGTTAAAAGAAGACTAATCTCCTGGGGAGTCCAAATTGAAAGAGGACATTCAGGTTGGAAACTGAACATGCAATTGTCCTATCCTGCTTCTTTATGCTTATTTTTGTGTCTTATTTTTACTTTGTTGGAGCATAGCTTGTTTATTTATTCCTTGTTTCTTTATTCACCAAAGGTGCTGGACCCACCTAATTGGTGGAAAGGGGAGGATGAGTATTTTTATCTTCTAAAAGAGTACAAGCAAATCCTCAGCTGGAGTAAACTTCACTGGAATAACAGGCTGGCTGCTCCCTGAGTGGTAGTCTGTAAACACTCACTATATCTCCTGTTGTTAATGTAACAGATAACATGACAGAAAATGAGGAGATATTTAAGGAAGAAATCCATGTACTGCTCAACACAGCTGATCAAGACTGGTTTGTCAATCCAAAAGACAGATGGACTTTCTTTGGGTCTCTCTTTTTCTGCTGCACAGTCTTCACAACTGTGGGTAAGTTCAGAGGTAAAGTAACTCCCTGCAGAATCAACTACTGTTGCTGCTTTGGCTAATGTATTTCTTCCAGGGAATTAAAAAGCCCCACACCGAAAACCAAAACCAAATCCCCATGAATTTTTCTCCTGGTATTGACGATGAGTCTTTAAGGGGTTCTGCAAACACAGATTGCAGAGATGTACCTGAGTCAGAGAAGCAAGACAGAATTCTGTAACTAGTGATGATGAGTAGCGATGATACATTCTAATTAGTTGCATCATTACATGCATACTATAATGTACTCATTTGACATGTACACAAAACTAATATATTAAAGTAAAAAGAAACCTCCATTTTTCAGTCAAACCATATTCTGCCCACTATTGTGTCTTATGTTGGGTAATGTTTTATTCACTGGAAGAGGTAATTCATTATGCATATATCGTTTTTCAATTGCTTCCCTGTTATTTATGTCTAGCCTAGCTTTGTAAATCTCTGGCTCTATAATTAACCATGCTGTTGGTTTTTGCATTTCTCTGGGTTAACAGCACAGGCAATGTTTAAGTCACACCTCCAAAATCTTTCATTCTGACTTCATATTTCAAAGGAGGACCTAGATCAAATAGAAACATCTGCTCTGGGTTTTGGCTCCCTCTGCATTGCTAAATACAACTCCTCATGCTCATTCCCAAAGCTACTTTTATCCCTTGGCTAATCTTTCTCAAATGCTGGCAAGTACAGACACTGGCTATCTACATTTGTCAGAATCAAAGCTGGATGGGAAATAGTCCCACATCATTCTATCAAACTGCAAAGACATTTCTCCACTGTATTAAGTAAGATATACTCAAGATCCCAGCCTGGGTATGCCTCTTAATGCAAAAGAAAAACTGAACCTCATAAAAAAGCTTATCCTGTACAAGGAATAGTGTGAGAGTTAATATGTTCACTTGGAGCACGTAGGAGACCCTCGTGCACTAAGTCACAGCAGAGGCTTGAACCTCAGGCTCAGCTTCTTGCAGCTCCTGTGTTTGAAGACAGATGTCTAGGTCATCAGAGACACATTCAGGAGATGCAGACCTGAATCCTCACCCCAGTGAATATTTCCTAGTGCAAACACAACAGCTAGGAATGTTTGAAAGAGGATATTTTATCAGAAAGCTTTGACTTCAACAAGCCCTATGGTTGAAACTTCTTGCCTGGGTATACTTACCGGTCTCCATTGACATGGGGCTTTACAAATGTCCCCATACACGTTGAGCCAACATATTTATTTCTAAACTGTCATTACTTTTGTCCTTCATAGTGCTGAGCAGTAACACCACTTCCTCATGTTTTGAGATGAGTTTTGGGATAGGAAGCCTAGAATCTTTGTGGTTATTTCCATTGTGGTGGGTTTGTTACTTGCAGTATTAGGAACTGATAAATCACTTCAGATGAGAGTCAACTTGCCTACCTGTGATTATCTAGGAGAAGCAAGGCGTCTGATCGGTGCTCTGAACTGCTGTCTCTTCACTCCCCATGGAGGTTACATAGTGGCTCAGTGAGGCTAGATTTCTGAAGAGCTAAATTTAAGCTCAAGATAAATTTTAACCCTTGAAACTTTACTAAGTATTTTTAATACATGGAAATTGAAGAAAAAAGAAAAAAGAAAAAAGAAAAAAGAAAAAAGAAAAAAGAAAAAAGAAAAAAGAAAAAAGAAAAAAGAAAAAAGAAAAAAGAAAAAAAGAAAAAAGAAAAAGAAAAAAGAAAAAAGAAAAAAGAAAAAAGAAAAAAGAAAAAAGAAAATCACTCTGTACAATAACTACAATAATTAATCTTTCCCAATTGCTTCAGCAGTAAGCATTAGCATTCCCAGTTAGCCAGTGGGGAACAGAGTGACAGAGAATAAATAGCTTTTCAGTGCCTCACAGCAAAGGAGGGATCAAGGTTGGATTTAGACCAAAGGCTATGGCAGCCATTAGTGAAAACAAACATGAATGGATGAAGAAAACTAAGGAAACCATACTTCAACATATGAGCTAATAATATTACAGGCTAAGTACCTGGTCTGGAAGATCATGTAGAAAAGAACAATGTTTTTGAAGAAAGAGAAGAATTGCTTCATGTCTTTTTGGAGGATGAAGAGTAAAATGGGTGTTAAAATTTAATACCATTAATATAATGCTGATGTTTTCTCCCACTGTAATGGAAAAGCACTAACTTACAATTTAAGTTTCACATCCAGTATTTTAGAGGAAGGAAATACAAATACTCAAATTGCATTTAGGGAAAAGACTTATCTTCTTCTACCATTTAATGTATCATAAAGGCTGTGCATCTGGTAGTACTTCTCTATTTGTTGTAATTGATATTTGTAGACTTTAGAATAAACATGCATTTCCTCATGTGATAAACATATGCTTCCTCACTTGATCCTTTGCTTTTCTGAGTACATTTAAAAGACCCTGAAAACTGTGAAGTCAGTGCAAACAGAATGTCGATACAACCTATGCCATTAGGGCTAGAACTGATGAACTAGGGACAAATCGAAATTCTGTTATTAGCTTACTGTTTGCCACAAGTCGTTTTGGCAAAGAAATTAAGTTTGAGGCATGGGTCTCACTGTTCCAGTCTGATCCATAGTGCTGTCCCAGTTTCAAAATTCAGTCATCCGGATCTGAATCTTCCCAGAGCTAAGGGAGTTTCATCCCCCCCCCAGATCATTCAGTCATACTGTGAGAACCCGGAGGCTGGCCAGGAGATGATCCCCCAGATCCTCATGCACCGTCTAGTCTCTGCCCCCAGCATCAGATGTTGTCTCTCCGAGCTCAGCCCTCAGCTTAACTTCCCTGTGGAGGGACCCATGAGCCCAAGGCTCTCTTGCTGTCTTCCCTTTTGGATTCTTCTTAACCCAGACTCCCAGATCAGGAAATCTTCTTGATAACAGTGTCCAGGAGGACAGAGGCTGCACACCGATCTTGGGCTGGCCCAAACCTTTTGTTTCTCTTCTCTGAATGGCTTCTTGTTGTCAGGCAGTTAAGTCAAACAGCCAATAAGGTGTAGATAAACTAGGAAGAGTTAGTTCAACAGAACTGGCAAACTCCAAAACTCCAAGTTCTTGAAGAGGTAGGATGTCTGCATTAATAGCCAGCATTTGAGACTCAGAAATTTTAATAGCTTCAAAGCAAAGCCAAAAACAACAGCATGCTCTGGACTAAACATTGACTTTTAAAACTGACAGCAATAAAAAAGCTCAGAGGATGTGAATACCTAATAAATCACGATGTTCTCTTTCTTTCCCTTTCCCTTCTCTTCCTCTTTTTGTTTTTGTTCAAGGTTACGGTAATACCTATCCTGTGACACGGATCGGAAAATACCTCTGTATGTTGTATGCTTTATTTGGCATCCCTCTGATGTTCTTGGTCCTGACAGACATGGGAGACATCCTTGCAACCGTCTTATCCAAATCTTACAATGAATTCAGAAAACTACAGTCAAAAATTCTAGCCTCTAGACTCTGTTCTGGATCCACATGTAACAAAGGGGATGAACTGAAATCCAGAGCACAGACTAAAGTAATCATCACTGAGCCCTTGACTATTATGGAAGTGCTGAAAAGTCAGCCAGGTGTTAAAAGGAGGCCAACCAAATATCGCAATGCTGAAATTTTTGAAATGTTAATTGCCAGAGAAAATGAACACAGAAAAACAGCAATAAATAAAAGCATTGAGAGATGGAGTTCATGTCCTGAACTAGACAGGGGAAAGACAATGACCAGAGTAATTGAGAATTTTGACAAAATAGGGCAACAGTTAGAAAAATTAGATGTGCCCATTGTATTAATGGTGCTAGTTATCTTTGTGTACATCTCCTGTGCAGCTGCTATTCTTCCAAACTGGGAAACCAGGCTGGATTTTCAGGAAGCCTTTTATTTCTGTTTTATCACATTGACAACTATTGGATTTGGAGATACACAACTGGAACACCCCAAGTTTTTCTTGTTTTTTTCCCTCTATATTATTATTGGCATGGAAATTGTCTTCATCGCTTTTAAACTGGGTCAAGACCGCTTAATTGTTTTGTATAAAAAGGTGATTTCATTTTGTGGGAAGAAAAAGATGCCATTGAAGAAGGTATATCCAAAATAAGAGTGGTGGTTTCTCCTTCACTCATAAGCATTGGCCACTTCAATGAGATGAAACTGTTCGTTTCTGCCTTGGGCTGGCAGGAAGCATATTTTATTCTGATTTCTTCCAAGAATCTACTGTAAAATGGCTAAATACCTCAGGAGGCATTTGGTCATCTCCAGGGAGTACGTTCCAACAGGGTCCCAACTCCTAAATAATAAATAAAGATGACGCATGATGAAAAAGCAGATGGCTCTCTCTGCCAGTGCTCCCTAGCATCTTTTGCAAAGCTCTGACTTTCAGCAGCCTTTCTGTCCTCTCTCCCATAGCAAGGCTATTTTGGGTGGGGTTTTTTTCAGCACTTGTCCAGGCAAGGCCCAGATCACTGTCTCATCCTGCCACCCTGTCTGCAGCCAGGGACAGCTTGGCTGTGACTGTCAGTACTGAACTGTGACAGCATGCTACTGCAATATGCTTCGTCATCAGAGCCAGCTGGGAAGAAGAAGTACGAACCCAGCTGTTCTTTGGTCATGACCGCATGTATTGCAAATATTGCACCTTTGTGCAGGCCAGAAGAATTTTAAAGTGAAAGGAAGGTCCCCAAATTTTCACCTCTTTCTCTGTCTCCTGTCCAGAAGTCAGTCAGAAAATTGTTGATCTGTTCAGGGGTGAAACCACTCCTTTTCCATCATGATTTATCATATCTGTATTCAGCCCAGAATTGATATGTGTCCCATGGCATCCAGATACAGAAGTGCTTATGACAAGTTCTGCTCTTGAGATGCCCATCTCAAGGGGGAAGACATGCAGCAACCCTGAAGGTGACTACAGTCATGGATTGAAGCTCCATCTCTTTGCTGTTAAAGAAGCATGATGGTGTGGGGACACTGATCCCCAAAGTCCTCACTCCTAATCCAGGTTTTACTCTGCACAGACTGCTTGACTTCTGGGAGTTCCTTGACCCACTCATGGAAAGAAAAGCCTTCTTCTTTCACTGGGATGTGGTGAGAATCCTGTAGCACATACTTGTGGAGCACATTGATATGTGAATATTGGTGTTTCTTCAAAGTTTTGCTTATATTATTCATTATCTGAATTGAGCTACCAATGATAGATTTTTTTTTTCTGTCAAAGAAACCAAATACACATTTTATAAAAGAAACCACTGACTTTAATTAAACACCTCTTAACTTGTAAACTATCTGCATGCCCACTGAATGTGAATGGCATCTCTAGATATTAAAGCATGCTTGATTATGACAGACTGTACATTTTCCATAGCAAATTTGCCATTTGAAGCTGAGATTTTCAGAATATTTACATGGCACTTTACCTCTGTTACACTCCATGTACATGGTAATGTGTATTCAGTCCTTATTAATAATTAGTTGCCATTAAGCACTGATGATATGCAAAATGTGTAATGAATGATGGTATATAGAAAAGTGCTTTATAAGAATAACAATAAATAATAAAGCAGCCCGAAGGAACTCTGGTTAATTTCTTCATGTTTGCCATGACTTTGGCTTCACATACAAAGTCCTTCTATTCAGACCACTCTCATATTACTATATTTTATGTCTTTTGATTAAAATCAGTGTAGAACTTTGAACGCATGCCAAAGTTTTCAGAAATCCATGAAAAGACTCAGATGATTTAATGGGATTTGGATCAGAAAACTGCACTTCCTGCTCTTCAGGGTTTTTCCTTGTTGCATGCCTAACACTGCCAGCATTAGTAAGAACTGGTCTTTATATCATTTGACTTGTTTCTCTCATATCAGTGAGATCTCATTTATGGAGACAGATTAATAGTGAATTCATCCCCTATAGATTTCCCATTGATGTGGTACCTTAGGGAATTTTGGCTGGAATGGCAGTAAGGTTTCTACACCAAATCATTCTAGTTATGGCCAAGGGATGGCAGTAAACAGCCTTCCTTCATATAGAACCCGTCAGTTACGGAGGATAAAAAAGCATTTTATAGAAGGGGAGAGACCAAATCACGTCACCATGACCCTCTGTAAAATGATGGTGCACCTGCCTCTTGAATACAATGTGCAGCTCTGGTCCTTCACCCCCCAAATGATATGTAAAATTTGAAAAAAGTTTATAGGTCCTGGTAAAGGATGAACAAAGATAGGGAATAGCTTCCATATGAGACACACAGAGTAGCTCTCTAGTCTGGGAAGAGTCAGGAGACTAAAGGAGAGATGTGTCACATTATGAGGTCATGGAGGAAGGAAATAGGGAACGATGGAATGATTGTTAAACGTCTTTCATTATGAGAGCTGGGGCTGCCAAATGAAACTGGCATGTGGCAGGTTTAAGAAAAGAAACAGCAAGAAAAGAAAATGGTACTTCACACAACATATAATTAAGCTGTAGATACTCCTTGTCCTGGGAGGATGTCGTGATTAAAAGTTCACATTAGATCAATGGGAGATGGGACAAAATCATGAAAGAAAAACTTGAAAAACAATTGAATACAAAGATTACACTTCTAGCTCAATAATCACAGAGTTACAAATTGGCAGATGAGGAGGAAACATCTCTACAGACTTTCCTAGCCCTGTGTTCTTCCTTTGCAACCTGCTGCCTCTCAGAGACAGAATACAGGTCTGCAAGGTCTTGTTCTGACCTCATCTCAGTGCCTGTAATGCATCGAAAATGATTGTTATGTAGCTAGCAAAACATTCAGTAAATCTAATTTCTGAAGAGATATTTAGTTTCACATTTGCATGCAAGGTAGACAGACCAGCACATTCTAATTCTGTAAAACATACCACAGAAAAATGTGATTTAGGCAACACAACCAGCTTGCAGCTAATATCACACGGTCGTTTGTCTTGTGTTGTGGACCTAAAGGAGGGTGGACAGCCGGACACACACCCAAATGTCAGGGATAAAAAGGTATTTAGGTCTTCTACTCAGGTGCACTGAAGCATTGTTCCCACACAAACAGGAATATCTGGCCCTGATTTTCTTACTGTCAAAGCTGGAAGGCAGTTTCCCAGATGGCGATATGCAGCAGCCTTGTGCTGACAGTGATAGCAGAGCTTTGGCTGTGGAGCACGATCTGAAGGTAGCTCAGTAAATACAGCAACAGAATTAACGAAAATGAAACAAAGTAGTGAGTAGTGGCTCATTTAGTGAGCCTCGTGCATAAATATTTATGAGTTGACCGCTCTTACGGTCCAAATCCGAGAAGAATTCACCATCTCTGCCCCCAGAAGTTTCTATTCAAGAGAAATGACATGGAAATCAGCTTTGTTTGCATCAAAGCGGTACAAAATACTGCTTTTCATAACTTTTTTCCATCACGTGCTGCATGAGATGGTGGATTAGCCGTGAAGGGCTTCATGGAAGAACTTTTCTATCAGGAAAGACGTGACTGATGGGGAAAGACTTGCTTGATGTGTAACCCACAAAGGATATGAGTTATTACAAACCCAGCTGGAGAGCTTTACAGATCAAATGCACTTGGCGCTGAAGGATGCTGGATCAATCACTCCTGATTGGGCCAAGATGGCAGCTGTCACGAGCACTTAGGAGTGGAGAGGAGGGTATTCCTGGTGTGGGAATTACAGAGGGAAAGATGGAGGACTGAGCGGAAGGGGCAGAAAATAATCCTCGGGCAGAAGTATTAGAGGGAGAAAATGACAGCAACGGCAGAGGAAGGAACCATTTTCTGTATAGACATAAATATGGTGAAGAGATGCTTGAGAGACTGAAAATATGGTGCGGGCTGGTGTCTCTGGCCTGGGGAAGGTTTGTGCAGCCAGCCCACAGTTGGAGAGACCTTCTTAAATCAACATGGTGATCATGGTGGTTGGGCTCCAGTACAGGTCTCACCACCAACAGCCACTGGGAGGGCAGAAGAATCTGTGGAAGGAAGTCTGAGAGATAAAACAGTGGCAGAAAGAAGATACAGGGACTGGACTGAACGGCCATTGATGAAACTATCAGAAATATCCGTCTTATTCTCTGTTTTGTAATTTAAAGGATGACAACCCATTCAGAAGCATCTTTTACATGAGCAATACGTCTGAGGACTCAGGAAATTCTTAATGGGATGTAGGACTTGTCATCTGTGTGCCAGTAGTTCAGATGTAGTCCAGATTTTAGTCAGCTCAATGTTAATAACATCTGATAGCACTTTGATGGCCTTTATGCTTTTTCAACTCGTTCCAGGTGGAGATGCACCCACATCACAAAAACACTCTCATATAATGAACGCTAAGAGCACGCGTGGTGGCAGGCTCAGCAGAGGCAAAGGCTGAGACTCCAGCTGAGGAGTCCCTGCAAGTGCCCTTTGCTTCCAGGTTCCCAGCATACCTTGTGATCCTAATTTCCAGACTACAGGGTGCATCAAATGCAGCGTGTGTGGCTGTTGCGTGCAATATGAGTGTTCTGTGAACCCAGAAAGACGGCTCTTATGATCTTCCCTGGCTTTCACAAATTGAACACTTTTAGTTTTATGTATTATTCTTCCTTATTATTATCAACAAGTCATTATTATCAATAAGTTATTATTATTATAAGTTATTGATATCAATAAGTGATGATGATGATGATGATGATGGTGATGATGATGATGATATTACTATTATTAAGCAGCACCTCCACAGGCTGTACTCAACTGTTCTGCCAGGACATATTATATTCTAAGAGCAACTTAAAGTATTTAGTTAGGCTACCTTTCCCTTTCTTCTTTACCTTATGCACCACATACATGGTAGAAAAAATATTTCTCAAGCCATTCAAAATGACAGTGCTCACAGCCCAGAAAGCCAACCATGTCCTGGGCTGCATCAAGAGAGATGTGACCAGCAGGTCGAGGGAGGGGATTCTCCCCCTCTGCTCTGCTCTCGTGAGACCCCCCTGCAGTGCTGTGTCCAGCTCTGGGGCATCAACATCAGAAGGACACGGATCTGCTTGAGCAAGGCCAGAGGAGGCCACGAAGGTGATCAAGGGCTGGAGAACATCCCCTGTGGGGACAGGCTGAGAGAGTTGGGGGGTTCAGCTGGAGACAAGAAGGCTCTGGGGAGACTTTAGAGCAGCCTTCCAGGATTTAAAGGGGCTACAGGAAAGATGGGGAGGGACTCTTGATCAGGGGGTGTAGGGATAGGATGAGGGGTAATGGATTTAAACTGAAAGAGTGTAGATTACATTCGATATAAGGAAGAAATTCTTCCCTGTGTGGGTGATGAGGCACTAGAACTGGTTACCCAGAGAAGCTGTGGCTGCCCCCTCCCTGGGAGGGTTCAAGGCCAGGTTGGACGGGGCTTTGGGCAGCCTGGGCTAGTGGAAGGTGTCCCTGCCCATGGCAGGGAGGTTGGGACTAGATGATCTTTAAGGTCCCTTCCAACACAATGATAGGAATCTATGATTACACACAGAGCAAGGGAGATCAGGTTGCTCAGGGTAAATTTCAATTATCTTTGTTAAAGTACATAGGCACGGATGGTAAAAGAAATACTAGGAATTTGCTCCATCACTCATAGCAAGTAATAGCTGCATGAAGACAACAGATCTCTCATACATGAGGTCAATATTTTCAGGATAGTGGCCCGAGGTCTAAGTGCAAACCTTCATGGACAATGAAGTCTGTGAACGCATTGCTTGTGCGTGCCAATAGCTGGTTGTTTGCACATGGTATTCATTAGAGAGGTTTAGGAAGTGCTTGGACAACTGTTAGTTGGCTTATGTGCTCACAGTTTTGCATGTTAATCTCAGCTTTTTTTTTTTTTTTTTTTTTTAATTCAGTCTCTAGTAGATAAAATCTAGTTCTTTTGAGATTAGTTCAGGCTTTTTCAAGCTGATGAAGCTCCCAGCGTCTGGGCACAGCCAGAATCCTCCTGACACTGAACTTGTGCATAAAACTTTATATCTGTGCATTTTCAGGATGTATGAAAGTCTAGAGGAAATGGAAAGAAATGGGCAAGAAGGGAAGGGAAAGCAAAGCAAGAAGAAAGGAGCAGAGCTTTGTCAGTGAAAAACGAATTGCGGTGTTAAGCATCTACTGATGAGAAATCAGGGTAATGATGTTGTCTAACAACATTAACTGCTTCCACAAAGTCCTGTGTGAACAGGAAAACAGAGAGAAGACACCACAAAATCAGCATATAAAACTGACAATGTACTTGATGCGCTGCTGGAAGAGAGTTATTTGATCTGCTGTGCGATGCAGACTGTCATCAGGCTCTCTGATCAGTGCCCTGTAGGGGAAAGCCACTCATTTGCTGTCTTCTGCCATATGTGCCAAAGAGATTTGAGAAGCAGTGCCAGGAGGTTGATGCTCTGACTGTGGGTTCTACAATTCTCCCGCTTTACACGTTTCTTGTGGCAAGTAATAGAAGTTGTTGCTGCTAAAGCAATTGGGAGTTTGGGGAATTCAGTGTATATATGAAGACTTCTGACCACCAGCATGAAATTACACTTGGATTTAGTCTGCTTTTTTTCTCAAATAACCATCCAAA